GAACACACAGCCATGTGGAGCTGGTCTTCAGTTACTTTATTGGGGAAAAAAACAGTCTCCTGTTTCCTGTGCATTAAACTGCAATTTAGAAGCCATTAATCCATCCCATAATCCGTCACCAAATAAAATCCTGACTGGGATCAGAGAGGGCTTCCAAACATGTCTCTACATTTAACAACAGATCTCTACATCAAGATTTTTGTTTTTATTCATCCCATGTAAAAGATCTTTAATGCTGTCTTCCATGTACACAATCTCAGAAGGATGAAGTAGCAACAATAAGGACTGAGTGAGATATTGCAGATGCTAACCCTGCCTTCACAGGTGACCTAGTGATCACTACAGCATCTGTTTGAATTACTTTAACACTGCCGCCCAACAGACATGTAATCCGGGATAATGCCCTTTTGCTGAGTGCTCCAATCTGGATAAATTCATCCCCCGAGGAATGAGATCCAGCGGCAGAGTCTCGGGGAGAGAGAGCGAGGAGATGAGGGGCTTGTGGGGTTGATTGGTTGGTACTAAAGAAGACTGTTGGGGCTGAGAAGAGAGTCTTCTCGATGGATAATGAAGCCCCACAGTAAACAGCTTGATTTTGTTGACTGCCTGACTGACTACAGGCGAGGGAGATCACTGCCTGGTTTTTTCCAAGAACACTCCAGACCAATCATATTCCTTTCCCCAGCTGACCTGAATCCTGACAGACTCCAAATGAAGCTTTGATCCAAACTGCTTTCATTGGATATTCTGTACTTACTTACATCGGCATTCTCATTTTGATGGTTTCTTCAAATAAAACATGAACTCGATTCTGTGCTTTAGAGGAACAACGTGCTGTAATGTGAGCTCTATTTATGCATTTCATGAGCAATATATAGATTTTTTTCTGTTTTTTGAAAATCCATAGAAAAGCCACCAGTCTTTCTTGAAAAAAGCATCTCTAGTCATTACTGACAAAACAACTGCCACACATAGGGACTTAGAAATTCCAGCTGTCAAGCAGCAGTCTCTGAGATTATTTATTCATATGTTTACTTATTACCATAAATATCCAACAGGGCACTCGGCTCAGGGGGATTACAGTAGGCTTAATTTATCGTGGCACAGAAATGAGCAGGGGTCACGGCGGCTGAGGTGACTTAAGCTGGCTAGCCTTGATGGGACATGCAGCACAAACAAGAAAACAAACTGCACGCCACCAGGCTCAATCATGAACTGATGACATCATCTGTCACTCACTGTGTTTGCATGGCATGATCCAGCCAGGGTTAGTTATTACTCAAGCCAAGTGTCATGAATGGTGACTGGGTAAGTCATAGGAACAGGACAAGGACATTTTTTTGTGTTTCTTATAACAGGCATCTTAAATATCCTGAAGCAGACTTCTGCAAGATTTTATGTTGCATTCCCATTAAGGGCAATAAATTAATTAATTACCTCTGAGTTATTATGGTCATAATCTGTGCATTACACAGCACTGTGTCTTGCTTACAAATAACCATTCATAATTATGAAGCTGAAAATTGGTATTTCTGTTTGCAATGTAATGGGCTGTATTTCTTTCTTGTATTTTTTTTTCCCCTTTGGAAAAGCGAGAATGATTTCTCCGTCTATAAAAAAAAAATCCACACAACTAGACATGACATTGGAAAGACATTTAATTATACTTTGGTTGAGAAATATGTATCAAAGCCTGCCGCCCATGAAAAGCGGATTTAGAGTCGTCAGACAGCAGTTAATAGACAGCAGTAAATGAAATAGTGGCGGTTGGGGGTACTAAGACATGCTTTCCAGGACTAAGAAACAGCTTAGTCTGGCTGGGTGCTGAAATCAGGAGTTCTGACACAAGATATATTAGAGGGTGGGGGATAATGAAGGGCGATGGGGTGGCTCGAGGGGGTTAGGAGATTTTTTTTTAGACAAGATTGGGATACTGTTCCTGTGCAGCAACACTGCCCCTAGTGGACGAATTCTGTTAGAGACAGCCCCAAAACAAGATCTTACTTCCCTGAGAAAGTAGTCCAGAAACCCACTAGCCAAGGCAGTTTGCATGCTAATTTCATGAGGGTCATTCAGAGACAATAAAAGGAGAGCTGGAGAGACACGGGAAGAGAGGAAGGGGGAAGAGACTGAGGGAGCCCATACGCTTAACATTGACAATGTGTGATTTATTTTTTCTGTAGCACATTTTCTTTAGCGCCCGGCACATTCAGTACAAGACTATTCTTAAACTGCCCCTCCTCCACCGAGACATCATGCTTTCACAAATATTTCACCCTCTGCCTGACACAGGCTGGGGTTCTCAATCACAATGCATCTCACAGCGAAAGAGAAGAAAAGACGGACAAATAAGGGGGACGGGTCTGGGAGACAGAGAGAGAGATTGTGAGAAAAGTGAAATCAAGTGAGAGATGTTTGCGACACTGTGTAGATTGAATGGGAGGAGGTATCGAGAGGAGGTGTTGCAAAGGAATGGACCCAGTCTTAGACAAGTTTGGCCTGAAGTGAATGTTTATCTGGAGGCTGTCCCAGATCTTCCTGACTGTTGCAGTGTCATCTGTCACAGGCAGGAGACGTGACAGTGAAGAAAAAAAAAAAGTACGGTCCACGCGCCAGCAGCACAGTCGGGGTTGGAGAGCATTTCCCAACGGCTTTCATTCCCCCTTATTCTCCTCCTCTCCATCTTTTTTTCCACTCTGGACCATTTATTCCTCTAAGTTGTGAGAAAATAAATTGCTCAGCGCCTCTGCATATGAACTGACTCCTCTCTCTGCTTCTCTCTTACTTATTCCCTCATTTTCACGCTCTCTTTCTCTCTCGCAGGAGAGCTGCTGCGTCTAAGTATATGAGAGCTATGGCCACAACTCCCCTCTGTCCCCCCCTGTTCATAAAAACTAGATTGTTTTCCGCAGCTTTCTGCTGACACCGGCTTGGCACATAAACAGAGCCGTAATTTGTACAACAACAGTAAGCTACAGGGAAGCACTTTTTCCTCCCCTGAGGCATGCATAGAGGAGGAAGGTTGTTATCCCCTGTTTACCTGGCAGGAAAAAGCACTATTTTATATTATGGTAATAACCAACTGTGCAGAAATGCACAGCAATCGGCTCTCTTTCCAGTTGTTGCAATCGCCTCATTCCAGCAAATACGGTCTAAAATATGGTCTGGGATTTTCCCTATAGAACTTTTTTTTAATGCCGTGAAGGCATGTGGATGTAAATGTGACGGACCCAGGACAAAAGCCCAAATCAGAGTACAACCCTCTCCTACAGATTTTAATGCCTCTTGCAAAGATAGAGAAATACAGTGCTGGGTGTTTGAGATGCTGTAGAAGTCAGACGTGGTTATAAAACATAGCAGATGCTTAACAGAGTGCAGGAGAAAAAAAACAAAACTAATGACTGATCATGTATTTCTGCATCGCAGTAAGCACAGATGGTGCAGAAAGACTTGACAATAAAATCACAGGAACAGAGCAAAGCCTCAACATCAGGAACAGTTACAGCATCAGCAGTACAGCGAATTATGTCCTTTCACAGCAACGTAACAAAAGGCTGATGTGATCAAGACAGAGAAGCTTAAAATGTCTCGACTCACTGTGGGTCCACTTACACAACTTGGGTCACAATCCCAAGTCATACACAGTCGTGATAAAACAGAAAATACAGCTGACACCCTCTATGGAAGCGATCTACACATTAAAACTCGGCTGCTGAAGAGAATTCAAAGCGACATCACTTTAGTTAAAAATAGTCCGTTGTGACAATCTTCTTTCTACAAGTAGTTAGCAGAAAAAAAGTATAAACACAGCAATTTGATGAGTTTGCTCCCTTCTTTTTCATTGCATCCAATAAATGAAAATGTGAAACAGCTAAATTCCAAGATGTAGCAAATGAGCTTGTTTACCGAGTTTCATTTGTTGCTGCTGTGTCAGCAGCATGTTGCAAAGTCTTAAGTTGTCAGTTTTAGCAAAAACATGTCAACAAACTTAATTTAGCATTTTCTGTGCTCTTTTCAATGAAATGGTTACAACTCCCTCTGGGACACGGCTGTACAAATCAGCGCGCACACACACACACACACACACACATATGTGGAGACACAGACATGACCTCCTTAGGATGTAGTCCAATGTGACAGGATCAGGCTTTGAAAAGAGGTGGCGGCAGTGTCAGTGACCCCAACCCTATGGGGGGGGGGGGGGGGGGGGGGGGTGTAGTAAACCAGGGCGATGTTGTAGGACGCAGATGATGCTCTGAGACAAGCATCCACTGTCTGATTCAGTGTGTGTCCTTCTCTTGCTCAGACACAACAGAGGGAAGAGTTTTCGCTGTACTTTCCTCACCTCTATTGTTTTCCAAAGACAACCACCTGGTGGTAAGCTGGGGAAACAACCAATTCATCCTCATTCTGTCCACAAACAGACTGTCTAGGAATAAAAATAACAACAGCCGAGGCTCTCCAAAGGGCTCGAGATGGAAAAGCTTAGCTCTAGAGTCTGCCCTCTGAATCACTTCACTGTTAACTTTTTCCTCTCTCTATTCTTCCAAGCAGACCCCCTGTAGTTGGACTCAATAGGGGAAAGGGCTGTCAGTTCCAAACAATGTGACTCAGGAGTGAACGCTTGACTGAACTGGACTAGGGTCACAGGGTGCTGTTGGTGTGTGTCTGTGTGTGTGTGACAGGCGTTTTTAACCCCCGCATAGGAAGTATTTAACTCTCAAAGTCTCAAAGCTATGACAGAAAAGTGTCGACTACTGTTCACATCTCCTCAGCTCTAGAACAACCACGCAGGCGTGTTCTTCCTCATTTCTTCTATGACACCAGATGTAGTAAACTGTGTTTTATTATAAACAGTTAAAAAAACACAGATGGCAGCAACAAGCTCAGACAGTACAAGAATGATTTTCAGAGACAGATCCCAGCCAGCAAGCCACATAGCAAATCACAAGCACATGAAATTTTGATAAACAAGCAACTTAATCTGGGAAAAAACTCACCATGTCCGGAGATCCACAGGAGCAGGAGGACCCAAGGGATCATGACTTGGGAGTGCAGGGGGGGGGGGGGCAAAACCTACGAGAAAACAGTGGTCGACTGTGAAATTGGAGTTGGCAGGCACTAACGCATGCACGAGATGAGACAGTGCTCCTCTGTGCTGCTGGGGGGGGGGGGGGGGGACGGATGCTACAGTCCCTCAGTGGTGTCTCCTTTAACTACCCTATAGTGGAAGGCAGCTAGTCAGTCTTCAGTCCTTCTTCTTTTGATTCTTCTTGTCCTTGGTCTCTCTGTGTCTCTCTGTCCGTGTCAGTCTTCAGAGTTGCCGGTGGTCAGCTCTCTCATGCTCTCTTGTTGATGTGCGCTTGTAGACTTTCTGTGTCTCCGCTGCTGACTCTGAGCCTACACACGCTCACTCTTTCTCTCTCTCGCTCGCACAGTTTCCCGTTGCCTATCCATCCTCAGTCTCCTCATCCCACACTTACCCCCCCTCCTCCTTCTCTTTCTCTCTCATGCTCTCTCTCTCTCCCCCCTCTCTTGCTCTACCACTCACGTATAGCAGACACAGTCAGGGGATGGAGCTGAACAAGGAGACTCCTCCCCCCCCCCTCCCTTCTATCCCTATCTCTCTCTCTCTCTCTCTCTCTCTCTCTCTCTCGCTCTCAGGCTGACTGTCTGGGTGGCTGTGGCTGATTGTGAGGCTGGGAGACTCGGATCCTCACTCTGGGAACGAGGGCTGCCATGGGAGAAACAGAGAGGCTGAAGTTCCAATTAGAATGAGAATAGGTGCAACTTGGCATCTATAGCTACAAATAACACAGACGTCCACTTAACAAAAAGTGCAGTTTCCCCCCACCCCCACTCCCTTCCATTCCCATAAAGACCCCTGCCTTTTTTAAGAATCTACGTACGGAGCTGAATTTTGGAAACCGTGAGCTGAAAATGGATAAAGGCTACATTAGCATTCAAGACCCAAGCCATAGTGTTCATTCCTATCCAATTTTTTATCAGGGCTGAATTAGATTCATAGTCACTCACTCAAGGAGCCATGATGCAAGACGTCATAAAAAGGCTAAATGCACTGCATACTTAGTAACAAGGTTTCCTCCTGGTTATGTTTATTAAAGAGGGGGTTTTCTTTCGGCTGTGTGTCTGACTACACAAACACAATGCTTGATTTTATAAAACTATAGAGAAATAACCAAATGATTTGCACTTCACATTCAGTTTTGTATATTTCATTATGAAAGTTAAAGACTTAGATAGACGGACCTATCAGCAGACTGACAGACAGATAAGGTGTTTTTTGGAACGAAGAGTTCTGGTGAATTTTTGAAGACTATCCATTACAGACTTCCCTGAGAACTACACACCATGGGGAGTTGTTTTTCTCTCTCTCTGCTCTCTCAAAGATATAATAATGCCTGCACATCGTTGGTCCATTTGTCCATATTTTTTTTCCACTTTTAATGATTTGAAGAGGTTTTACCAACTGTTATTTGCTTGTGTTTACAGTGGGATTTAAAAATGGAGGGTTGGAGGTACTGGATTGGCTCGTATATTCAACATGCAATGAAATATGGACCAATCACTGTGCGCTTATGTCACCTAAAGTCCCGTTTGCTCTTGGAGAGTATCTACTCTGAAGCAAAGCTAAAAAGATTCCTCTTAACTGGGTTCTAGGAACTTAAATAGTTCGTAGTTCCTGCTCTGTTGAATGAATAAAGAAGGGGGAGGGTTCCAAAAGCTCCTAGAATTATGAAAAAGTTCCTGCAGTCCAAAAAGGCCTATAGATGGATAGATCTATCTATAGGGGCGACATTGGCTCAGTGGTAGAGTCGGTCATCTCTCGGTCATGAAGGTCAGGGGTTTGATCGCCAGCTCCGGCCATTCACACACAGATTGGAGAAGTTGCTATGTAAAGTATCCATGAGTATTGAAAAATCACATGCATACAAGGACACAGGTCTTCCTCAAGGACACCTCAACCCTTTTGATCAAACCTATGACCTACCCCACTGCCGCCCCTCCACTATCTATCTGGATGGATGGATGGTTGGAAGAATAGAGCGCCATTACTAAAGCATGAGTAAATAAATGTTGCTTGTAAGAGGAACTCCCTTAATTTTTGGGCCATTTCTGCCTTAATTGGTCAGGACAGCTAAAAGAGTGGGGGGTGACATACAGCAGTGCACCCAGGTCGGATTAGAACCCACAGCTGCTCCAACATGGGCTATAGCCTCCATTAATGGGGGGTGCAACATGATTGCTAGGCTTTACCCTCTCTTTTTTTTTTTTTTTGTATTAGAATTTATTAAAATTACAAACTGGAGTGGTGGGGGCTGATCAAATATTAATTTAAGATGTACAGAAATGTGCTTAGATTAGAAGTCCGATAATGACACAGTAAGCACAACATGAGGCTCTAGTCCACAACATATTAATTTAATCCATCTCCTTGACTTCCTAATCTAATCAAAGGGCCAGAGGATGACAGGTGGTCTTTTCATCAGTGCAAATAACAGCTACACACAAAAACAACCCCCGTGCGGCCGAATCAGAGGATAACAGATTTGCATGCTGCCTAAGAACATGATGAGTAGGGCCAAAGAATAACAATGGAGCTTAAGTGCCTGGAGGTTGAATACAGCTAGTAAAGAGGTAAACATTGGAATATTTGACGTCCACAATCCCCAACCCCCCTGCTTGGTACTATAAACCACATAGAGTGGATTAATTTCTGCGATATCTGTTGAAAATGAGGACCTGAACTGGTCCAAAAACCCACAATAAGGGGTTAGATTTCACCCAAACATGTTTTGAGTCATAATATTTACAAAAAGTGTACCCATATTTGATTGGCTGATATGTAATTTATATAAATAATATGTGTTTTACTATCTTTTTTTACTAAGTTTGACAATTCAAAAAACATAACCGGACATGTTTTTGAAATACTTTTCCGTGCATACTTCTTCCTCATCAAAAGTTGACGTCGACATAACCCCGATTGCAACTAAAGCAGATGGACAGTTTGATGGGAAATTTGAGTTTCTAACACTAATAGGAGCTAATGTAGCCTTGAGCCTCTTGCCTCAAGCAGAGACGAGGAGCAGGTTAGAGGGCTTTCAAAGTCCAACAGCTCAGATTTGGTTTTTGACTTTATTTTCAAAGTGAAATTATTTGGCCAAGCCAATTGACATCACTTTAGCCAATGATCTGATTTAGTTTTTTTATGGACACTTTTCAACTATGTTTTAGTTTTCTATCAGGGCTTTCACACTTAAACTATATTTCCAGGAGGAGCAGTTTGTGTAAACGCAAACAGCAACGTTATTCACAGGGGCAAGGACTACAAAATAAAACAGGAAACACTGAAAACTTAAATCAGGATTATCAACAGATAAATACAAAGGAAACAGATAAACACATGGATAAGAAATTACACAATAAAACAGGAAACACAAAAGACTAAATTAGGAAACATTAAAATAAAACACACGAGGGAAACAAGCAAACACCAGGTATGAAGGAGACAAAATAAAATAAGAAAGGAAATCTAAACTCTGAAAATATACATAATACAAAACTAAATCATGACAAAACTGGGCACAAAGTACCTGTACAAAATAATAATTGCAATAATAATAATGATAATGACTATTTTCAACAGTTGTAACATGGGGATAAAGGAATTATTTTCTTGCGAGTACAACTTTCAAAAAACAGGATTATTCCACGCAGATTCTCTCCAAGTGAGAAATGGCTCATTTTTTTTTTTCCAGTACTTTCTCAAGCTTGCATGTCAAAGCTCAAGGAGCACATCTTGCACTGCACAGCAAAACAGCAGCCCCTGACTAATTTAATTACTCAGGGTTGGGTTGCAAAGTGACCTTTGAAACTTGAAGGCTTAAAAATTAACAAGAACAGACTGAGAATCAATCCAAAACTAAGAGCAGAGACTAATGCTGTTTGGCACTGTGTTTTAAAACTGTTAATGGAAATATAACAAATGGCATTGAGGGAAATAAATAAAAGTGTAATGATTATTTTGATAAATGTATATCATCTTGTAACATTTGCAACAATGTGGGATAATGAAATTGAAGTGTGCAAGCTGCACTTCTCTCCTTTTCTAGTCCATGAAATCCTCCCCATCCCTTCACCAGATGAAATGCGGAGCCGCATTGTCACACTCAAAAAGTGACACATTAAGATGATGGACAGCCACTCTGTTTTTGAGCTAAATAGAAAGTGACATATCTGTGTATTTCTCTTGGGCCTGCACATCCGCTGTTGAGACACTGAGAGGTCTGAAACACTGCAATCTGTAGCTGTGTGTGTGTGTCCCAGTGTGCATTGTGTATGTTGAGTGTGTGTTACCATCAATTCGTATTTTGAAATTAGCAAATCAGCCAGTTGTCTTTCAATGAAGGACATCCACTCAATCTTGGTCAGTCATATGATTCCCCAGAGGTGCTCCTTCTCTAGCCCTAATGCGTCAGATTCTCATTCTAATCAAGTCTGCAAAGTGGCAGAGCAGAGGATCTAAATGAATGGAATTAAACAGTATGGCAAGGCCTGGCAGGAAGCAGGGCGAGTGACGACATCTCATTTTCATGCAGAGTCCTTTTTTTAGACGGGGACCCTTGCTGAGAGAAACAGGATGCTGGTGGCATAATGTTCAGTTACATTTCATTTAGTATGAAAAAGGCAATTGTTCCATACTTGTCGTTCTGTTTACGTTGACTAATTGAAGGTCAGGATCATAACGTCCTGAATCCCTTCTTTTCCTGCACTGTGCTTGTCTTTGTCTAGGGTTGACTTGACCTCATTGTTACTCTACTCTGCGAGCTTTGTGAGATGAACTTTAGACAATTGTGCTTTGAAATGATATGGAATTAGAGTAGCAAAGCAAGCAATACAAGAGGCAACCTGCATGGATCGTGAGGAATCACAAGTATAGCTCAACTAAAGAAGCCCTGGTTACAGACTTCCCCTGAGCTTATCCACGCTACAAAAGTAAAAAGTTTTAAATATAAGATGTTAAATGACTTAATTTAA